GGGAGATTGGAGACACACACAGGCCGGCAGCTTCAGCAACAGACATTTCTGTCCCCCGGTCCTAGAGACTGGAAGCCCCATCTCCAGCCTCCTCCTGAGGCCTCGCTCCTGGGCGTATAGACGCCGTCTCTTCTAGGAGCCGTCTGCGTCTTCTCATGTCTTCTCAGAAGGACACTTGCCGTGTGGAATTAGGGTCCACTCTAGTGACCTCACTTTACCTTAATCCCCTTTTAAAGGCCCTGTCTTGCAGATGCACCCGTTTCTGCTGGCGTGTGCTGTGTCTCCTCCACATGGGGTGGGGGAGTGTGCGGAACACTCCTGGACCCCTCCCTTGGCTGCCCTGAGGGGTGGTCTCATGACCACATGGGCCGGTGTCACACTCAGGAGCCCACGTCCCTCCAGAGGTGACCAGTGAGGTGGGGTGTATGCAGACGTGCGTGCGCGCCCGGGGCATTGGACGCAGGGTGTGAGCACACGTGAGGTTCCCATCAGCATGACGATCTTACCGGTGTCAGACTGTTGTCTGCCACGGGGGCTCCAGAGTCTGGGGGCCTTTGCCTCTTCCCTGCTGTCCCCGGTCACCCTCCACGTTTTCTGCCTCAGCCCAGAATTGGCTTCTCCCAGGAGTCCTGGCACCTTTGGGCAGGAAATGGTGTTGAGAGCCCACAGGCTGCCATGACATTCCCCCCTGCAGCTGGGCCCCCACCAGGGACTCGTGGTGGAGCATGCCACGGGAGAATGCTGCTCCGGGACACAGGAACCGTCAGCTTGCGTGTCCGTGTCTGGGTAAACCCCTTCCTGACGGACCACGTGTCACAGCCAACTTCCACGGAGTATGACCTCACTCAGTCGGGGAGCCTGAATGGAGGTCCTCCTAGAAGGGGCTTGTAAACCCTTAGCTCGCAGGAGGGGCGACTCCGGGTTTATTTGACCTGGAGCCCTTAAGGGTGGCCGGGCTGCTGAGGGGCAGTGAGGCCGCAGCCTTTGGAGCTCTGTGGAGGGTGCGGATCCCACACCCCCAGCCTCTCCTGCTTGGTCTACAGCGTGCCCCCCTCCCCCATGCTACGGCCGTGCTCTCCTCCAGCCCCGCCCAGTGCCATCACCCGGGAGTGAGGCCCGCATTCTCCCTCCCCGAGGCCCCTGCTCTCCCACCCGTGCCTGCGCCTCCGGGGGCTGCCGTCCATCCGTCCCTGCCCAATACAGATCACCTGCGGCTGCTGACCGCCTCCCGGCTCCGCGAGGGGCTTCTGTGGGAGTGGATGTTGGGGTCTGTCCCTGGTCCCCTCCCAGGCCGGGGGGTTGTCTGAGTCAACCCCCAGACCCAGAAGAGCTGGGTGTTTGGGTTGCGGGAAACGGAGCCCTGCCCTCTCCCGAGGGGACCCCCTGCCTCCCTACAGGTTCTCTCCCGGGGACCGTGATACTGGGGCTCTGTGATTCCGCGGGCTTGCCCTCCAGGCTGGCTGAGGAGCAGAGGTGCCCGCGGCTGCCTCGGGGATGGAGGCACCGTGTCCACCGGGCTGCTAATCACGGTGCCCGTGAGCACTCAGCAGGACCGCCGAGAGGCAGCCGGGCTGCTGCCCGTGCTCTGCTCCGTGCCCTCTGTTTTCCAGCCCAGCAGGACTTTCCCAACGTCTTTGCGGTGACTCTGGTCTTTCTGCAGCCCCAGCACGCTTGAGGGTGTCCACGTGGCTGACACAGCCTCCCTGGCTGTCGTCCCGCGGCTGGAAACGCTGAGTCTGCTTGGCCAGGCTGAGGCGCGGGGCCGGTGCGTGCAGGGTGCCAGGAGGCCAGTGGCCAGGCCACAGAGCCCGTGAAGACAAGTGGACCAGGAGGTGCAAGCAGGAGAACGGGAAGGTCCACCCCAGGGGCAGCCTAGAGCTCAGGACAAGTGGTCGGAGCCCACAGGAGATTCTGGAAGGGGCTGCATGAAGCCTTCCGTGTCCTACCCCTCCTGGCGACAGTTTTCCCTCCTCCAGGGCCGGGCTGAGCTCGGCGTAAACATGCGAGCCCTCTCTTTGCCAGAGGTGAAGGCAGAGCCCTGGGGTCCCGGGGAGCAGCCCGGGCAGGTCCCCCTGCACCCCGTGTGCTCCCGAGTGAGCTCGCCTCCCCCGGGCAGTTCACCCGGCACTCGGCGAGTGTATGACTCTCGGACCACGTTGCGTGTCCACCTGCCCTCGCAGGGGGCATGTCTGCGGAGGGTTGTGGCCTGCGATGGTCGCTCACGTGTCCTTTCCCTGCTGGCTGTGAAGCTTGGAAACTCGACTATGTTCTCCTCACAGCACGCGTAAGAGCAGGCGCGTGAGTGTTTCATCGAGGGCTGGAGGCGGCCACGTTCTGTGTCTCATGGGGGATGGCTGAGTGAGCCCTGTGGCTGCCGGCCTGCCTACGGGGACGCATGTCGTTAACTAAGCCATGTGAAGAGCACTGGGCGGGTCCAGGTGCGCTTCCCTGGCACTGCCTTCCTGGGGCCCCTCGGAGCCCTGACCCAGTCCGTGGTTCAGAGATGCACGGGGTGGGACGGCGGTCGTGAGCTCTCCTGGTGCCCGGTGCAGTGCCATTCTGTGGCACACACCGTCCGGGAAAGGGAGGTGGCTGGTGTGCGGTTGGTAGAAGAGCACGTCGGCGAGCCAGGCTTCCCGCTGCACCTGCCGCGTGGGACGGACCTTCTGAGACCTTCCGTCCGTGTGCGTTCTCCGCCGGCACAGGGACCCGGACAGTGGCGGCCACCAGTCATCTAGCCGGTGACGTGACTGTGTGGCTAGAGTGGTGCTCCGAGAAGGTGTGTGTTCTCAGCGCGCCTGTGCAGAGAAGCACACGTCAGAGGATAACTCGAGGGCCTTTACCGCAAGAAGTTAAAAGGGACGTTAGAGTCAACTCGGAGAGAGAGACGTCCCACAGTAGAGACACGAGTACATCCCCAGCGGCTCCGTAGACGGGTTAACAAACTGGAGAGTCACTGAGACACAGATGACAGCAAGTGCGCCGCGTGCCGGGGCCAGATTGTGCCAAATGCCGGGAGAAGGCAGCGGGTGGTCTCGTTCCATTACCTTGAAAACACACAGTGGGGAAGTAACGGGCAGAAAAAGATTTGGGGACTTTTAGGGAGGATTTTCTCTGGCAAAACCCCTGAAATGAATTCAGGCAGAAGTATAAAATCTAGATAAACAGTAAAAAAAAAAAAAAAAAAAAAAAAAAGGAAAAGAAAAAACCAGCCCTTAGATATGTGTATCTTGGGAGAAATTGCTTGGAGAAGCTGGCTCCCCGGTGCACAGACGTCCCCGCTGGGTCGAGCTCCGCAGCTCCGGAGAGAAAAGGCGCCACAGCGGGTGGCCTGCCAGCCCCGTGACCGAGGCCTCGCGGAGGAGCCCTGTGGGTGCGGCGTGTCGCGTGCGTGTGCTGAGTGAGGGGAAGCAGTGTCCCCCGCTCAACACAGGAGGGATGGCGGCTGAAACTCAGCTCGCTCACGGCCACAGCAAACGCCGCTCCCGAAGCCCGGGGTTGGGAAGGTGTTCTCGTCCGCCAAAAACGTGTGCTACAGCCCAGAGGAAGCGCTCACTTGACAGGAAATGTCCCCAACGTCACCCACGAGACAGATCTGCTGTCGCTGCTGCTGCCCGGCCCAGAGGCTGTGGCCCCGGGTGGTGACCAGGACTGGACGAGGAGGGGAGGGTGGCCACCCAGCTTGCCGTCCCCTGCCGATCGTGGGGAGGTGCCGGTCCACGCGGTGCCACATGGGGCGGCTGGGACCCCAGATGACCTGGAGTGTCAGATGAACGCTGGGTTTTCAAGACGGTATGAAAAAGTGCGAAATACCTCATTTGTAATTCTTGTGCTGAGTCTGTGCCGAGACGACGGTACTTCTAGTACGTCGGTGCACTACATTAGTTTCTTCTCCTTTCCACACGTGGCACTAGACCGTCTCAATTTCACACCTGCTTGCACCGTGGGCCGGTCTCGACACAGGACCCAGCAGAGTCCGCGGAGGGTCCGTGGGGCCAGCTGGCGACTTGGTGCAGGTGACGGCAGCCCGGCCAGCGAGCGGCCATGGGGCTCCTGGGCCCGGGTCAACCAGGCAGCCAGGAGTCCTCACCGTGCACCTTCCCTTGGCCTTTTCTGTCCTCCCTGCACCAAAACCCACATGTCTGAAGTGTGTATTGTTGCAAATAATTATAAATTGTGTCTGTTGATCGTAAATCCCTTCCAAGTTTTAAGTCCTGTCATCCCTGCACCAGCCCTGTTTTCTGGCTGACTGCCTGAGAGTCATTCATCCCAGAACGCAGCATTCCCGAGCACATGGCCCCTGGTGAGAACCAGACCGTGGCTTTGTGCGTGGGAGTGTCCCTCCGCCATGACTCTCCCTGACTAGGCCCCTCTGGTGAGGCCCCATGTCCATCCTAGCCCCCACCCCGTGTTGGCAGCTGTCCCCGTCACTGTAGGGCCTGCCCGGGCCCATGGAGCCTCTCCCATGGCGTCTCCCCAAGCAGACCGAGGGGATGTGCGGCGCCACCCAGTGCTGCTTGTTTGAGGCGTGCTGGCTGCGTCCTGTGCTCTGCCGGGCTCCTGCCCACGACGTCCCGGGGCTAGAGAGTCACGCGGGGCCCCTGATCTTCCTTGTGGTCCACAGTCCGACCAGCTCCGTACCTGCTGGTCCCTGCAGGGCAGCCCCACGCTGGGAGGGACTCGGGAAGGCTCAGCAGAGCAGGGCACGTGTGCTGGGCTGGGCCAGAGAGGGGCTCGGGGGCGGGGCTGCGGGTGCCAGGATCCGGGGAGCCGCTCCCAGCCTAGGGCCTTGAGGCTGAAGTGGGAAGGGGCGCGGCACCATGGCCGGAGACCTCGGCAGGACACCCGGCCCACGCGCCCCACGGTTGAGCGAGGGCAGTGCCTGGGCTGGGGCAGGCGCAGCGTTTCCGCGTGGGTCTGGGCCTGGCTTCCAACGAGGAACGCGGAGGATCGGTTCCGTGGCGACAGACTCTGGAGTGACCGCGCCTCTGTCTTTGCAGGTCGCGCTCATGACGCTGACGCTCTTCCCCTTGCGGCTGCTGCTCGTCGTGGCCATGATGCTGCTCGCGTGGCCCTTTACATTCTTCGCGTCGCTGCGCTCCGTGGACGGGGACCCCGAGCAGCCCCCAGCCGCCTGGCGCAAGTGAGTCCCTCGTGTGCAGGCGCTTGGACGTGCCCCTCCCTCCTCCCGCAGCTTCTCCGTCCTGGACGCTGTGGCGGGTCGGGGTGGCCGGTCCCATTCGCTGGCACCCGCTGCCCCCGTCCCACTCTGAGGGGTCCTCCGGGGTCCTGCGGGCTACGTGGCCGCTGCCGCCATACCCTCGGCACCAAAGCTCCCCACCGTGTTCCCACGTCCCCAGCCCCCGAAGGCTGCACATCAGCCAACATGTGTCCCGTGTGCCGGTCTGGTCTCTGCGGGATCAAGTGTCCCCCTTGTCCCCCCGTAGCCATAGAAGTTCCCTTGTGGCTACGTGTTGAGTAGCAGGAAGGCCCTGTTCTGAATGCATCTTTTCTTACGGCTTGTTCGAGAGAGCGAGCGCATGCACGTACGCGTGCGCACAAACAGGGAGGGGCAGAGGAGGAGGAGGAACCCCAAGCAGGCTCCCCGCTGAGCGCAGAGCTGGGTGCGGGGCTCTGTCTCAGGACCCTGAGACCATGGTCTGAGCCAGAACCCTGCGTCCGACGCTCAGCTGACCAGGTCACCGGGTGCCCCCGTTCTGAGCACACCGTAGCTAGGGATGTGGCACAGGCCTCAGAAGCTTCTCAGGCCCCTCGCTCCTCCGTGAAGCTGCGCGTAAACCAGAGCGTCCGCCACTGGTGAAGAAAGCGCCAGGAGGCACGGACCCTGATAAAGATCTCCAGCGTCTCAGAAGTTGTCGTTCCTGCTGAAAGCCGCCCGCTGTCCGCACCTCTCGTCACCCCCTTGGGGTCCTGGAACAGTTGACGCAGAAGCAGAAACGGCAGCCTCACGCAGGGGTCCCCTCTCCCAGGCTACCCCCGGCCGCTGCCCGATTTACACACAGTTTCACTTGCGCTGAGCCCCTCACGGACGCAGAGGCTGTGTGGCCCACAGAGCCCAAAACGTTTGCTCCTGGCCCTTCACAGGCTTAGCAAGCGGGCTCAGTCCTCCTCGCCTAGGAAGCGTCTGGCCGGCAGGAACACGGTGCCCCACAGAGGCAGGTGGGACCTGGCACTTGCCCTTGAGGTTGGTTCTCTGGACGTGCACCTGCCGTGGGCACACGTGACCGTCACACGTGCAGCAAAGATGGAATTTCGAGTCATGGGTATGCCCATGAGCACGAGCCCGCGAGGAGTGTGCGTGGCCGTGACCGGGGAGCCCGCACGTGGGGTCTTCATGTGCACCCCTCACTGTGTTCGTGTGCTTAGACCATTGTCAGAGTCAAGTGCACCACGGTCTTCCTCCCTGGGAGACCCGAAGGTGGGCCATGATCCGTTCGATGCCAGCTCCAGTGTGGCACCTGGCCCAGGGGTGCTAGGACGTGGGTCCTGAGTGAGGGGGGGAAGGGAGTGAGGGAGTGAGTGTAGGAGTGAGGGGGAGAGGGAGTGAGTATGGGGGGAGAGAGTGGGTGTGGGTCAAGGGAGGAGAGAGTGAGTTGGGGGGGTGGGAGGGGGGAAGGGGAAGGGGGGTGGGAGGTCCTGTCAGCTGTGCCCCCCCACCGGGCGCTGGGGACATCACCGGCTTCCAGTGCTCCTTCTGGCTTGTTTAGATTCCTTAATTCTCTGTGAAGGACATGCTTTACCTTGAGGATTTTCTTAAATGTTTTAATCCTAAAATATGAATTTAGTATCAAGCATATAATCCAGCAAAATAAACCTGGACCAGACAGGAATCAGAATTTCAGTCTTGCTAGGTTGAGGATCTGTAGCTGGAGAATTTTTGACCGATGACAGGGGATCTAAGAGTTTGGGGTGTTGGTTATAGGGCGGCCGTCCCTCCCGGCACCTCGTCTTCTCCCCTCCTCTGCTCCCCCCTGGGCTGGGCTCCTCCTACCTGTTCACACACCCCCTGCAGATTCTCTTTCCCAAGTGCAGACTCCGGGCTGGACTCCGTTGACCCCGGGCGGGCTCCATGCAGCTCTGCTGGGCTCGGTGGATGATACGGGGGCCGCCAGCTGGCGTCCACGGCCCAGCTTCCAGGCACCGCGTGTGCCTGTAGCGCGTGCCCGAGCGGCAGCCTTCACGGCAAGACATAGACGCGTCTGAGGGTTCGTGAGAGCTCTGGGTGTCTGCGTGTGAGTGGGCCGCACGGCGCTGTGTTCACGTGTTTATGTTGTGCAAGCATGTGTACGTGCCTCTGCGGGTGTGCGGGCATGTGTGCATGTGTCGAGCATGTGCGTGTGTGCAGGGCCTTCCGTGAGCACGTGTGTATGTGCGTGTGGGCAAATGTGGGTATGTGTGCACGTGTGTGAGTGTTGTCTGCATGCAAAAGTGCATTGTGTGTGCAACCATGTATGTGCACATCTGTGTCCTCAAGGGACACGTGTGTGTGCACACGCATAGACATGCATGCTGCTCGTGGGGCGCGAGCCATACACCCTCGAGGTCTCCATGCAGCAGTATTTTTCAGGAACTCCACGCGCTGCCCTGCCCTGGGTCAACAAAGGACAGTCAACACAGAGCTCCTTCAAGGAGGGCAGGGTGACACGTGCCTGATCTGGGGACCGGCGAGGTGGGAGGAAGGGGGCTTCGGAACAACAGGTTTCGGCGTCCGCAGGCTGGGACGGAAGAGCCCTCGTGGGGTCGGCTGGGAGGTGTGGGTTCCTTGCTGGGCGGGGCCGGGCGGACTGGAGTCAGTGATGTCCCGTCGGGGAGGATTTGTGCTGGAGGTGTTAGTGTCACTCAGACGTCTTAAAATAAAAGCCTCAGGTTCTCAATGAAAGGAAGAATGACACAATTCCACAGAGACATTTACTCGAAGTTACTTTCAAACAACAAACGACTGTAAACACCAGAGCATCTTGCAAACCTGACCGGCAGTCGGCAGTGTCCTCTGGGTGCTGCCCCTTGGCCAGCCCACGTGCTTAGAGGGTGTCGTAGCTCCAGCCACTGGAACCATGTGCCACAGGCTAGGGGCCTCAACAACAGAAGGTTCCAGAGGCTGGCAGTCGGCGAATCCGCGTGCCGGCAGACGGTGCCCCCTCACTGGCCTCATCTGGCTCCCAAGGAGAGCTCTGGTCTCCCTCCTGCCAGGAAACCAGTCCCCTCACGTCATGACCTCATTTAACCTTATTTCCAGCTACAGTCAGACTCTTGCTTTGCCTGTGTTAGTACAGGATAGTGAGCCCTGAGCCTAGCCTCCCAGCTCTGAACCCCTCGAGGTCACACTGCCCTCCCAGAGCGTCCCGGAGCCCCCGGCTCCCCACGTGTCCCTTTTCTGCCAGGCGCAGTGCTTTCCTGCACGCCTTTTGGGCATGATCTATCTCCTGGACCTGGTTTGGGGTTTTTCTTTCTTTTTTTCTCGTTTTTCCCTCCCAAGATTTCCTGGAGTGTAGGTTTTGTCTCAGAAAGAGGACAAGCAGGAGAAACTCAGGTGCATTTCTGAATGTGTCTTCGTTCTCCCCTCAGTGCTGATGGGGAGCTGGTCCGGGCAGAGAACCATGGATTCCAGACCTTACGGCCCCAGAGTCACAAAGCTGCTGGCAGCTTCGGCTGTGATGCTCAGGGAGCCTGCTTGTTACTTGCTGAGTTTGGGACTCTTCTCTCTGCCCCCCCGGAATTTGAAAAGTTTTCAAAGGAAATCGTAGGAGTCTGTCTTATCTTGAGTTCGTTCTCCTCCCTGACGTGATGCTAAAGGTCTGTCTGTCTTCAACCGTAAGAAACTGTTCTCTTCCTGTCTGCACTGCTGTCCTTTTTCTCCGGCATGTTCCGGAGACTTCCAGCCTCCCAGAGAGCAGGCTCTTGGGGACACTGAGATACTGGATTGCCCAGAATGCGTTCTTGTTCTCTGCCGCTTTTCACGGCGCCCGGGCCTGGGTTCCAGAACAGCCTGAGGAGAGCGTGGACGCCCAGCCTCCCTTCTGGTGCCTGCCACCTCGTGTCCTCACGCCAGAGTCTCTTCTCTGCCGCGTGGCCGATCATGCTGGCATCTCAGGTTCCAGGGTGCCCCCCGGGTGACAAGCAGGGGAGGCAGCAAGGGCTGGCAGTCCCTGCCTGGTGCGTGTGGATTGTCTCCTGCGCCACCACTCCTGGGAATCACTCTGTGAGCCCCTCGGGCTTGTCACTGGCCACCTTGGCCGCGGATGGGAGGCGTCGGGCGGGCTGCAATCCACGCAGGCATAGCTCTGAGGCCTGTGTCCACGTCCGCAGGCTGCGCAGCCTCACTGGGGCTGGGACTCCTCAGAGAACCCGAGAGTGTCCTCAGGTGTCCTGTGCCCACCCTCTGCTCCCATTTCTGTTTTGCGCGGTTTGGCCTTTGACCTGGGGGGAGGGGGTGCCTCTCACGGGCACATCAGGATTTGGTCCACACTTCCGACTGGCTCCTTTCGCGTGCCCCTGACTCTGACTCCCCCGGGCAGCTCTCGGTCCCAGGGCAGCCTCGCCCAGGTCTTGTTTCTCCGTGCGTACCGGTGGCTGTCTCGTGGCTTTTATCGGAACGTGTTCTTGCGCAAGGTAGCCTTGTGCAGAGGAGCGTGTTTAAGCACACGCAGCCGGACAGGTAAGGAGAAGTGCGTAGCTGTGGTCACGCCCGGTTCCGGAGACGGCGTCGGAGCCCAGCCCAGCATCTTGGCGTGCGCCACACGGCGACTGCTCGCCATGCATGCGGGGGCTTTCTGCGGGGGCTCCACGAGGGGCTCAGGGCTCCTCTGGGCTCGGTCGCCACTCAGCACCGTTGGGCCTCCTCTTCCAGAATTCTCTTGAGACGGTTTTGAGCCCCTTGGGGGTCAATCGAGTGAGGTTTCGGGCTCGTGTTTCTGTCAAGCAGTCCAGTTGTCTGTGTGACACAGCAGCCCCCTTTCTCCCTGGACTGCGGAGCTCGCAGCCGGGGCCGCTCGCGGACGCCTCTGTGCACTGCCGGTGATGTGGGTCCTTGTCCCTCTGCAGCGAGCGTAGGTGGTGGGAAGATTTACGGGTCTGCACTCTCGTATGTGTGAAAAACAAGTAGGAAGCTGTTCGGTTAATCTGGGCTGGTGGTTATTTAATTTCCCACATTTATCATCCATCGAGTTTCATCCAGAAGAGGGTTGCTTTAGCAACGGGGCATTGGGTCATCGATTCCCAGACCTCAGGACCCTCCAGGGCAGGGACAGGAGTGGCTCGTTCTCAGCCCCAGCGTCACTCCCGATTTTAATTGCATTCTAGATAGTTTAGTGTGTTTGTTTCATGATGAATCACCTTCCAGCGCTTACAGCCCCGGTGCCTCCCACGTGCCGTGTCCTTGCTCTGCTGCTCAGTTCAGGACTCCGCGTCATCCTCGTGCTGCTGTGTCGTGCCACAGTCAGCACTTCTGTTTTCTCGGACAAATTGATAAAAAGGCATCCGCGGCCCATCTAGTAGAGGGGAGGGAGGCCCAGCATCTCTTGTCTTCTCTCCTTCAGACACCACAGTAGCCGCTGTTGGGGGTTTGGAGGGGCCTGGAGCGCCCTGGCTGACCCACCAGAGGTTGGCACTGAGCTCCCAGTGGCCATGGCCCCACGGTCAGCCTTGCACTGGTGAGCTGAGCGCAGCGCCCTTGACCCCCAGCTCTGGCCCGGTGTGACCGCAGCACTGTCTCTTGCAGGGTAGTGGACTTCCTGCTCAAGGCCATCATGCGCACCATGTGGTTTTCCGGAGGCTTCCACTGGGTGGTCATGAAGGGTCAGCAGGCCTCTCCGTCAGAGGCCGCCATCCTCACGCTGGCTCCACACTCCTCCTACTTCGATGCCATTGCCGTCACCCTGACGATGTCGTCCATCGTAATGAAGGCGGAGAGCAGAGACATCCCAATATGGGGAAGTGAGTGAGCCCCCCCGGGAGTGAGCGAGACCCCCCAGCCTGCTGGGAATGAGTGAGACCCCCAACCTGCTGGGAATGAGTGAGGCCCCCAACCTGCTGGGGGTGAGTGAGACCCCCTCCCCAGGAGTGAGTGAGACCCCCCCAACCTGCTGGGGGTGAGCGAGACCCCCAACCTGCTGGGAGTGAGTGAGACCCCCCTTCCCTGGGAGTGAGTGAGACCCCACAACCTGCTGGGAGTGAGTGCCGTGTTCCCCCATCCTCCCCCCCGCCCCGGGAGTGGGCGAGCCCCCACCCTGCCTGTCCATGCAGGTCGCACCCACATGAAATAGGCAGTTGCCCTTGAGTCTCTTCTTGTGCCTCTACTGCGGCTTCTCTGTAATGTTAGTTCTTGTGGGTTTCAGCAGGTTCACACGCACACATGCACACGCGCGTGCACACGCATCCTCAAGCGTCATGTGTCCAAGTGGCTGCTCAGGTTCAGTCCGTGGCAAGTGCAGGGCCCGTATCCCACGGCCCTAGAAGTGTCTGTCCCCGGGCACTGGTTACAGGGACCGAAAGCCCAGGTGTACAGGTGTCCCTCAGCCACGTGAGAGATCGCCCCACTCCTGGCATGAGAGGAGAAACTTACACTCGCAGTCCTGGAGCCGGAAGTCAAGGTCAAAGTGTCCAAAGCCTCGCTCCTCCAGAGGCTTTCAGGGACGGTCCTTCCTGCCTCTTCCAGCTCCTGGCCCCCAGGTAGCCCCAGGGCAGTGTCGGAGGCCCCCCTGCCCCTGCCTCCCTCCTCCCAGGCCTCCCCTGCGCATGTCCCTGTGCGTCTCTCACAAGGACACTTGTCTTTGGGTAACCTAGGGTACTCTCATCTCCAGGTACATAACTAATTACATCTGCAAAGACTGCTTTCCCAAATAAGGTTTCACGCATGGGTCCTAGGGCTTAGGATGTGGGCACATCATTTTGGGGTGCGCTGCACCATTACTGGGAACTCCAGGGAATGCGGGGAATCACTTTACAGATGAGAGCACCTGCCTCCTCCCGGCCAGGCCCACGCGCCAGAGCTGTCCAGGTGCCCTGCAGGGCCGGCCCACCTACTCCTGGTTCCTGTCCTCCTGGCTTCTGTTCCTGGGCTTGCCACCCAGCCCTGGCTCCTCTAGGCTGCTCCTGGGGGAGGGGAGGGCACACCGCTGTCCCTCTCCTCTGCCTGCCTCTCACCGTTCAGACCACGGGTGCGTCCTCTGAGGACTCTGGCCCGGCGGGAGGCACATGCTGCTGGTGCCGCAGCGCCAGGGGCAAAGGGTCCACACCCTGACCGCCTCCTCTGAACTCTCCTGAGTTCCCTGCTCGTGGTGGTGTTCGGCGGCTGGTTGCACGAGAACATGGTGTATGTTTTAGGTTCTTTATAGGAAGCGCTGAGAGGGTGTCACAGGCTCCCGAGGTGAGGCAGTGTGGGCCCCGACCGAGGGTGCGGGAAGCCACTTCCATTCTGTAATTGTGTTGCGATTCCCGCTTTTTGGTTTTAAGCTTCAGGCTGAGGAATGTCCGCATTCTGGGGGACGTTCTGGGATTTGGGGGGCATGTCATCTCCCCTCCTTCACATACAAATCACACAAACCCTTCTCGAAGCCTCGCCTTCCTTCAGTGACGGCTCAAGTCCCAAGTTAGCGTCATGGAGACTCACGGCTGCACTTTCTCCTCCACATCCCAAGGCCAGGGTTCGAAAGCCAACTCCACTGGCTGCATGTGCTGGGGGCTGCGAGGCCAGAGCTGAGCTCCACGCCCCCCACCACGGACCGAACCTCGGGAGGGCCACCAGCCTGTCCTCCGTGTGCGGCGTCCCTCACCGTGCGTCCCAGTCGCGTCAGGGACGACGTAGAAAGACGAGTGCGGGAGTGCCGGACTGCTCGTTCCAGGTTTCAGTTAGAAGTCAGCACGGCTCATCCCAAGTCGCGTTCCCTGTTTCCAGGTCTTGCGGCTGAGGCTCCTCCCACCGTGGGGGCCAAACAAGCCCCTGCCCCACCCCCCCCAGCCCCACCCCCAAGCAGCGCGCGGCCCGGGGCGTTCCCAGTGGCCCATCCTCCTGGTTCTCCTCATCCTTGTTGTTTAACGCTCGGTGCTTCTGGACCCTTTGACAGCCCACAACTTTGGTGAAGGGATGCATATTAAAAATATTCAAAATATTGTCCCCTTCAGATTTGGGACGACCAGTTAGAGTGATCAGCCCAAGGATTTGTCTCATTCTTACATCGTCGGTTTACTGCAGTGTCTTTTCTGTGGGCCCCTGGGCATTCACAGATGCGGGGCGGTGTCCGAGGGGACCGCGTCTCACGGTCTTTGGGCAGGACAGCGCCCCAGGCCCTTGTTGCCAACACTGCGTGGGGCTCACCCGACATGCGGCCATATTTCCCGTCTGTCCTCAGAAGCAAGCTGTTCAGTTACAAGGTCTCTAGTGTGGGGATTCACCTGGGGGTCCCCAAAAAGAAGGGGAGTCTGAGATACCAGTCAGAGGATGAAACCCCGTCATCTTCGGAGCCCAGAGAGCCTCTCCCCACCTCTGCCTGGAGCTTCTGACGCGTCCACGCATCGTGAAGAGACAACCTCTTCATGTCACCAGGAAGGGGCACTTGTGACGCCCGACCCTCTTCCGTAAGACCGGCCAGCCTGCCCCGCTCCTCCTCCTCCCTGGAAGACAGCGCGGAGCCGGCGCGGACGGGAGGAAGCTGGGCGGCTTCCCCGTTGTCCCGTCCTGTGGGGGTCCCCCCGGCCCTTTCCCCGCGTGCCGCTCCCAGCGCCGTCCGCAGGAATCCGCGAGAATGACAGAACAGGAAAGAAGATTCCAGATGCCAGAAGAAAACATCACTGAGACCCACGTGCAGCCTAGATTTTGAGTCCCGTGGACGTGACCAGATAGAATGTTCTTTTTTTTTCTTTTCTTTTCTTTTTTTTTAATGAATTTTAAAAGGTGTTTGCCTTTTGGAAGACCTCCCAGGAAGAAGAGTCACAACACACGATTCCTCGTGAGTGGTTAGAACGCTCAGAAGTCCAAAGCTGATGTTGGGCCCAGCGGGGATGTGTCTCACCGCCACGGGGGTGCCTGGCCACCGCGGCTGCCCACTTGTCCTTCCCAGGAGAGGACGCGCGCTCTAAGGACGGCTGTCATGTCAGTTTGGGGTTTCTCTTCTAAGAGGTGTCTCCCCACCTTCAGAGCCTCAGGCACAAGAACCGTGTGGTGGTTGCTGCTGTCAGGTCTGGTCACGGGAGCAGTGACCTGCCACAGCAGCAGTGCCAAGTTGGTCAGGACCGCCACCGTGTGAGTGTCCTGGGGCGCCCCCGACAGAGGGCTGCACGCTGGGCACCCAGAGACAGCAGGTGCTGATTCTCTTGCTGTCCTGGGGGCCGGAAGTCCCAAGTCAGGGTGTGAGCAGGGTGGCTTCTGGGGGGAGGCCTTGTCCGGCCTTCGTCACCGCTGGCGGCTCCCCATCGTCCTCGGTGTCCCGTGGCTGTGGTCACATCACTCCAGTGTTGGGCTCTGTCGCCTCATGGCCTTCTGCGTCCACGTCCATGTCTCCTCCTCCGTGCAAGGACACTGGGTGTGAGTCCGGGCTCACCCTGCTCTGATACCATGTCATCTTAACGTGACTCCGTCTGCAGGTGCCTGATTTCCAAAGAAAGTCACAGTCCTCAGTGCCCGGGGTCAGCGCAGTAGCCCGTGTCTTCGAGGGAGACGGCTCTGCCCATGATGGGCTGGTGGGGTTTAAGCCATGTCCCTTGGGCCCTTCCGACTCTGGAGCCGTTGACCTCCCCCCAGCTCCCTCCTCTGTCCGCGATCAGCCTTACTGCCCTTGTTTTCCCTGCTTTCCAGGCTGCAGACACCGGTGGTGCTACTTTCGACCTGGCAGGTTTTGGGTGGCCTACCATCGTGTGAGGGAGCCGCGGTGATTTCCCTGATCCCCCGTGATCGGGCATTGACCTGCCGCCCACCCTCAGGGACACTGCTGCCCTTAGGGTGTCCTGGGGGGCTCGCCTCTGCCCCGTGCCGTGGGCAGCCCCCTGTATCCCTCTGAACATGGCAGAAGCCGTGCATTCCCACACCGGTGCCTCTCCTCCCCTGGCAGCTCTGATAAAGTACATCCGGCCGGTGTTCGTGTCTCGGTCTGACCAGGACTCCCGCAGGAAGACCGTGGAGGAGATCAGGAGGCGCGCACAGTCCAATGGAAAGTGGCCACAGGTAACGCAGTGAACCGCGAGCTGGGGGCCAGATTCATTTCATTTGCGTTTGATGAGTGCGTGAGTTCAGGGTTGTGCTGAGTGTCAGATACTGTTGGTCCTGAAATTGTAAAATTGGGACAAACGAGACAGGTCTCACGTGTGTCTCACGTGCCCGAAGCGTCTTTCCTAAAATGACTGCTCGGCGATCCCTGGACCCGCGGCAGGCACGGCCTCTGGTGCGCGCCAGTCCGCAAGGCGTGGCTGTTTGGCCCTGAGAACCCCAGGCCGAGCTTGTCCATGTGAGCCCGGCTCCCGAGGGAGCATCAGGAAGGCCTTCTGTGGGCAGCCAGGCTGCGGCCTCGGCCGATGTCGGCTGTATTTCTTCGAGCCGAGCCTCGGAAGCTGGAGCGCCCTGGGGCTGTCTGGGTCCTGGGTGCTCGGAGAATGGAAGGCCCGGCTGCCAGGCACCCTCACCCGCGGGCAGCCCCCCGGGGGTTGTGATGTCCGGGGTGCTTGGCTGCTGCCCCACGTCCGGAAACAGCCATATGGGCTGTAGTCCCTGTGCTGAGGGGAGAATTGAGTTTCTGTCGTGTGGCTGGAGGTCAGCAGGAACCAGAGGGATTCAGGAGTCCCAGCGGGGACGTGTTTAACCACTGGTTCTGTGCGGCGTTTCTGGTTGCTGGCCCAGCTGTGCCTCGGCTCTGGCCCTGGTCCCGATGCCTTCAGCCCAGGGCCGTCCGCTGAGCTCCCCTTCTGTGTGTCTTTGTCCAGCTTTGCCCCTGGGGGGACCCCACTGTGCACTGGTGGTGCATCCAGGCCGTGGCAGCCAGGCCCCACAGCAGCTGCGATCAGTCCCGAGCACGCGCTTGGGAGGCTGGCGCCGGCCCCCAGGTTCATTGTAGAGAACTCCTGCCCGGGGAGCACAGCCAGGCGTGCTTCCATGGTGTGCCTAAACCACGCTGAGAATGACGAAAATATCTCAACATGTGTGGAGTGCAGAAAGCAGACTATTTCTGGATTACGTTCCTTTAAAGCTGACCTTTTCTCTTCTCATTCCAAGATAATGATTTTTCCAGAAGGAACGTGTACCAACAGGACCTGCCTCATTACCTTCAAGCCCGGTATGTAATTTTCTTAAATTCTCTGTTTTTCCTCCTTGAGTGAGTCGGGGAGACACTCCTGGGTCCCTGCGAGCCTGTGGTTTTCCCTGACGTGACTCAGCCCACACCCCCGTCAAGGAAACCTTCCGGGCACTCGATGACCATCCACCAAGAAGGGGTGGCAGAAAAGCTCATTTCTCCGGGCCCGGCATGAAACGTGCAGGGAAAGGATCCCAGCCGTCGAAGTAAGACGACGCCCCTTTTCGCTGCAGGCGCCTTCATCCCGGGGGTCCCCGTGCAGCCCGTGGTTCTGCGGTACCCAAACGAACTGGTGAGTGTGTTTTCCTGGGACCATGGTGAGTTGCCTATTGTCACGGGTCACGAAGCGGTGGCCCGTCCTCCCTGCCGATGGGTCCTGCTACGTTGACGTGAGACGTCCCCCCACGTCCTCTGTAGCCTTTGCTCCCCGGTCACCTGGGAAACTGTGACATTAAGAGAGTCTACACCCTGAAAGGCTGGAGACGGCGGGAGGGAAGGGAAGTAAGTGAGTCTGTACCAAATGAGCCTCTGCTGGTGTGTCTGAGTCTGTGGGGAAGGTGAGCAAAGCGCAGGAGGGGGCGTCGGGGCCCCAGAGCACGTGGTGATCTCGACGGGGCCCCGGCTCAGGGGAGGCAGGAAGGCCAGATGAAGCCTCCACAGGTTGTGGCCAGAGGCTCGCTGTGGCATCCGTTTCCACATCTGTCAAAGCAGCCGCAGCTGTCCCCTCCCCTGGGGGCCCTGTGGCCCTGCCACACGAGTCCAGCTCAGTGGGCTGCACTCCCGGTGCAGGCCCCGAGCCCCTGTGGGTGATGCTCGGTGCCCAGTGTGTCTCGCTCAGCCGTGGCCCCTCCAGGTGTGTGTCTTGCACCCACACGGGCATTGGGTTCTCCCAGCCAAGGCTCGTGTCCCTGGGCTGCCCTGGACTATTGACGGAGGACACCAAGGTGGGTTTGCTCAATGCACCGAGCTTTCTCCCTGTCACAGCGTGTCTTTATGACGACAAAAAGGAAACTCAGCAGCCCCAGCACCGTGGGGCCTGGAGTTGCTTGTCTAGACGGCAGCATGCTTGCATGTGACACCTGTGGACGTGAGGGGCTGGCCCCCTGCTTCTGGCCCAGACCCGGAGGGTCCCAGATTTGCACACCAGACCCTATGCCTCCAGGTGCTGACAGCACAAAAGAGGTTCTCCAAGGGGAGAGCGGTCGGTCAGTCAGTGTCAGTCAGAACCCGTCGCCAGCTGTGATGTGTTTTGCTCCTTTCTTGCCCCCAGGACACCATCACGTGGACGTGGCAAGGACCCAGCGCGTAAGTCAGACCCTGTGCCATCACATTGTGTGTCCTGTCCTGCGGGAAAGCACAGGGGCCACGCAAGTCGCTGCCCTGCGTTCTGGTTCCTTTTGCAAATGCAGAAGCTCTGAACATGGGACCCGCTGGTGCTCGATGGTAGCAGTTAGAGTCAGCTGCTGCGAAACTAAGTGTGCAGACCTGGCCCGTTCACACACTCCTGGATTCCAGGACCTAAGTTAATGGTCTCCCACTCCAGGGGAAGGTGACTGTAAGCGTTCTTTCCTTCCCACGTGTGCCTGTTGGCTCAGTGGCCACCATCCCACCTGCGCGCTGCAGCTCCTAGAAAAAACAAAAGGGGAGCTGCAGGGACGGCCCTTCTTTTGAACGGCTGCACAGGGGAGGCATAGGGTTCTAGGACAGCAGGCCTCCGTGGTACCAGTGTTTGACCTGGCACAGCAGAAGGGTGAGTGGTGGGGCCAGGCAGAGCCCTCCCAAGGCCCCCCGGCGAGGCGTCTGGAACGGATGCTGGGGTGGGGGCGGGGGGTGCCCCGAGAGGCCGCATTTGTGGCCCATAGCGTTAGCATTGCTGAGGCCAGAGTGTGGGGTGGATGGTGAGAAGCAAGGGGGCATCTGGGAGAAAGGTGTGAAGGGGCTTCTTCGGGCCCTGATGGCCAGGCTTGAGGCTGATGATGGTCGGAGATCGGGGCTATAGAGAGTTTGGAGCACAGTTGCCTGCTGGGGAGAGGAGCCATGCCCAAGGACGAGAGGCTCCAGACGGCTCCCGTTTCCAACTTCTACAGAGAGAAGGGTGGTGATGCTTGTTCTGCGGTCCGGAGCTCAGGGGCTGACCTTGCCGATGGCACGACTTAGGACCTGTTGAGTCTGCGTGGCCTGGGGACAGCCAGGTCCGGGACAGTGTCACGTAGATGAGGTTTCCTGAGCCGGAGGACACACGTGGGGAATGGGCGCCTGCAGGGCAGAGGACAGCCTCAGGAGTGGGTGCATCTGGCAGGGACAGTGAGGAACCCCGTTTGAGAAGGGTAGCCCTGTCCTCAACACAGTGTTATGAGGCTTGGCCTTGGCCTGAGGGGGACGCGGCATGCCCTGAACAAGGCAGCTGCCCTGCAGGGCCCAGGCGTTGACAGAGTTCGCCCCAGAATTGAAGTCTTTTTTTTTGGTTTGTGATCACAAGTAGGCAGAGGGGGGGGCGGGGGGGGGGGGGGAAGCAGGCTCCCTGCAGAGCAGGGATCCCGATGCAGGGCTTGATCCCAGGACCCTGAGATCATGACCTGAGCTGAAGGCAGAGGCTTTAACCCACTGAGCCACCCAGACGCCCCCAGAGTTGAAGTCATTTAATTAAAAGACATTGAGAATCTTTTAACCAAAGCTGTAAATCTGTTTGTTCATTTTTAAGGTTGGAGACCCTGTGGCTCACACTGTGTCAGTTTCACAATCGTGTGGAAATCGAGGTTTGTACAGATGCACGTTCAACAACCTTACGCTCGGGCTTGCGAAGGTCCAGCATCAGCGTCCAGATGTGGCACGATGCGGTGTTGCGTCGGGGGCTCTGTAGCTGGAGTGTCACGTCGTGTGAGGTCACAGTCTGTGCACAGCCAGCGCGAGGCGGCCTCTGGTGTGGTCTGTGCAGAGCGGGTCGGAGGCCGAGCCGGGTGATACACTGTTCCACCGTCGGCTCTGGCGGATCCAGGGTTAGCTGGTGTCTGCAGGGAACACGGCATGTGGTCAGAACAGATACAGTGTTACTCAGCCCTTCCTCAGTTCGGATACTATGGCCTTGTCCCTGTGGATACAGAGTTGCGTTGTCCCCACGGATACAGTGTTGTGTTGGACGAAGACAACGTGACCTTTGTTTCCTGTGCGGATGTGAGGTTTGACCAGCGTCTGCAGATCCAGTGTTGTGTTGGCATCTCTAGAGATAAGGGTGTCGGTGTCCGCACAGACACGACTTTGGCAGTGTCACGTTGCTGTCTGCACAGGTCTGTATTGTACGTCATCTGGCCTGCTCCGAGGTCTTCCCACTTCTCTTTGCTCCTCAGACATACTTCCCTGGGCCTTTTCACCGGTCGCATCGTGTCTCCTGCAGGATTTTGCACGAATCAGATAGGTTCTTAAATGTCCACAAGGAAGTTAGACCGTTCTTTTATCACGGTTAACGGAGCTTAACGGTGTTTAACATTGGCACACGTGCAATGGGTTATGTTTGTGGCATTTTTACTTGCTACTCTTACTGCTGGCTCACAGAGATCATACAGATCTGTCATCCTGTCGTCCTGTTTGATCCGTGGTCAGATCCCACAGCCTGCCTGCGGCTTTCGGCCCAGGAGGTCCCGAGGTCACGACACCCCTTCTCTCAGCTCCGTTCAGTAGCCACATTCGTGAAGCCTGTACGTTTTATCCAAGTGGGTGAGGAGTAGAGTTTCTTTTCTTAAAAGGGGACTCAGTGGCTACCCTGCCCCCGACAGGGGAGTCCAAATGCAACGGAAAGGGCTTAATGAGGCAATTTGCTCCCTTCTGATAAAAGTTGCAGAATTGCCCTGAATTTACAAGTGAGCCTGGATTTCAGCCAGCTTCCAGGTTTTTTCAGTATAGCAGAAGCTACTTAATTACAACACACTGAGCAGAAAGGTCCCTGGCCCGAGTCCAAGGGGGGCTGGCCATCCGCCAGGACATTACGTGTGGCTGCTTCCTGGCCTCCCGTGCGTGCTTCTCTATTTCAGGCCTCGTTTCCAGTTCTCAGAGCTCTTTATTTTTCCTAAAGATTTTATGTACTTATTTGTGAGAGAGAGAGCACAAGCGGGGTGAGCAGCAGAGGGAGAAACAGGCTGTCTGCTGAGCAGGGAGCCCAATGCGGGGCTCGATCCCGGGATCCTGGGACCATGACCTGAGCCAAAGGCAGACGCTTAACGACTGAGCCACCCAGGCGTCTCCACAGTTTTCAGAGTTTAAAGGCAGCTCTGAATTTTTGAACTTGCACTGAGCGTCTCCCCTCGTGTGTGCTCACAGGGGCCTGTGAGCAGGTGAATGGGGTGTACGCCTGAAACCGTGTGGCGAGAGCCGATGAGGCTTCCGGACGCCCCCGCAGGGTTAGAGGTCTGTAGAGCGTGTGCTGGGGGAGGGGCTGAGTGTCTGCAGGAAGGAGGAAGCGCCCGGGGATGTCTCCTCTCTGCCCAGCAGAGTCGGCACGGAGCGGGGGACTTACTGACGGTGCAGAGTAAGTGTCACTCGTGCAAGATGCACGTTCCCAGGGCAGTGTGTGATCCTCTCAAAAGGCAGGGGACACCAGATCTCCTCGTCTCTCTTCCACGTGAGCGCAGCGTGTTATGGTATCCCCCAGCACAGGCAGAGACTTCTGGAAAGGGGAGCATACACGTAGTTCTCTCTAAAGTTGGAACTTGAGAAGAAGTTCTAACTACTTTTACGTAGTTCCTGAGCATCCGAAGGGAGCCTCCATGTGACGTTAGAACCGAGTGCGCACACGAGCTTCTGTCCCGGAGGCATCGTGGTCACGTTCGCACACGTGGACGCGGGCGTCTGGGTGCATGCGCCCGTGCACGCGACCGCTTTGACGGTGGTTCTTACGGAAGCTGTTTTGACAGACCTTCCTTGCGTCCGACCCGTAAGTGCGCCGGGGCGGGCGTGTGATGCGCACTGCAGTAACGCAGCCTTCTCTGTGCTCAGTTCCTGCCTGTGTACAGCCCGTCGGAGGAGGAGAAGAAGGACCCTGCGCTGTACGCCAGCAACGTGCGGCGCGTCATGGCCGAGTGAGTGCGCCCCTTCCCGCGGGGTCAGAGCCCGCGTCCGCAGCATCCCCTGGGAGCCCTCGGAGTGTTAGGGACCCCTTCACCGGCCCGTTCCTCCTTAGCCCAGCCCAGACGCTCAGTAGCCCTAGAGAGCGGGTCGCGGCGGAAGTAAGTGCCTACTGCGAGTAAGTGCCTACTGCGCGCAGGCTGGAGGCTGTGTCAGCCGCCGGGCTCCCCAGTCCCTGCTGCGTCGCGCACCGGGTCTGCGTCTTCGCGGCTACACTCGCTCAGTTTCACCTGCGTGGGTCGGGACCAGCGCCAGGGCGCCGGGCGTGTGCGACCCCCGGGCAGTGTTCTGCGGGGCCTCCGTCCGGCTCCCGCGTGCGGCATGGGAACTAGATGCCGCATCTCCCAAGGGAGGCACGCTCGCTCCACACGTCTCTTGCTTCCCAAGTCCGCACCGTCCCCGGCGGCCTTGGATGAGGGGACGTCAGCCTAAGGCCCGCGCAGCCTCGCCCGCCGTGTCCCAGCCTCTCTCTCTCCTGCTCCCAGGCAGCAGGGGCCGCCTCTGCGTTGGGCCACCGCGGTGCTGGGAGGGGACTCAGTGGCTCTGCAGGCGTCCCCCGTGGCGGGCTCGAGTGGCTCTGGAGGGGTTTTCCCAGCGCCGTGCCTGAGCAGTTGTGACCGAGGCGGGAGGTAGCCCCTGCCCCACTGTGTGCGCATTAGGAGCCCCGCGTTCCCGTGTTCTGTGCGGCCGTACCAGGCCAAGTCACAGGCTCAGCATGCGGGAGTTAAAGCTCCGCGGGGTAGGCACACGCGGTCCACACGCCCCTCAGGAAGGCCGGCGCTGGGGACACAGGCCCGCGGGACACCCCCAGCCTCCTCGGGTGCCCACTCGCTGGACTTCACCGCCCGCTCGCTCTCCGAACCCCACACTGGGATGCGTGGGGGGCGGTCGGCCATCAGGATGCCCTCAACTCTCCGTTCGGGGGAAGCCAGGTTGTTCAACCCCTCGACAAGGATATCGTCTCCACAGAGTCAGAGGCTTGACAGGTTGGGGGTAAACTGCTTTAGTTCTTCAGATAAATTAGCTAATAACGTTTAACAGTAATTATGTCACAGATGCTTTGCTCGTGGAGGGGAAGCACCCCACATCGAATGGAAAAGGGCACATTGGCCACAGGGCAGCCCCCTGCCCCCACAGTCATGGGAGAACCCAGAAACATGGAAGTGGGTTGTCGCCTTCCTGGCCCTTAGACCCACCGAGAACAGCCTGGGACCCGCTGAGTGTCGCCGGCAGCCCCCAAGCGCACCTCCCCCCACCTCCTCACGGGATGACCCGAGGCGCTCCTGGTCATCCTGGCTTCTGTCCCCACACGATGATACCTCAGTTTGCCGAGTGGGACTGGACTAGCCGTGGAAGGTCTTCAAAGCCCATCTGCCAGCCACAATGGCACAGTGTCATTGTAGCATGGTGATGATTAAAAGCCCATTCAGTTATGGGGGACAGCGCTTAGTTTTAAATACTTGGTAAATGTTCTACCATTGTGTTTCCTGTAATAGAAGAAGGTCATTTTTCCTGAAATATGATGCCGTTCTTTAGAAGGGCTGAGTTCTGACTTGGGGACACAGCCAGCCCTTATGAAGGTGACCCCTGCCACCTGTAAGACGAGTTGTGCTTTCTAATGAGACAGCTGGTGGCGTGGTGGCCTCAAAGGCACCTGCTGCACACTTGCTTCCTAGCAGGGTGGAAACCGCAGTGATGGCTAACCTCTTGGGGCGCCCCAGGCTCTACATAAGTGGACTTTGGGGTCCACTAGTGAGCGCTCATGTTTAGTGCCAGATGTGAACTTGAAACGCTGTCTTTCCGTGTGTGTCAGCATTCAGAGTGCTCACTGCCCAGTGCTCCCGTCACAGGCATCTGGGGGGCGGGGTGCTTTTGTGGGCGTGCGTGAGAACTCTGGTCCCACAGGGCTCTGGGGCAAGTGCCTGGGCTGGAGCCCGTGCTTGGGCCCCTGTCACCTCCCCCCCCACCACCGGCCCCAGGTTCCTTGCCGTCCTTCTGTCCTGCACAGGCCCCGCCCAGATGTGCCCTCTTGGGGAGGGACACGTGGGAGTGGACAGGGGAGATGGCTTTTCCTGTCTGTGGACAGCTTGGGGAGATGAAGTCTGTCTTCTACATGTCCAGACCCAAGCAAGTTTTCAGGGTGTCCCTCCCACAAGGCCTTCCCAGCTTTATCTTGCGGGACACAGGCTGTGGCGAGGGCGTCTGCCGTCTCCTGGGGCTTGCTCTGCCGGAGTGGCTGGAGACGGCCTTGCTGTGTCCGCAGGATCCGAAGGGACAGAGGGCTCCTCGCGGCTGCATGGCAAGCCCCCAGCCCAGGCTCGAGAATGGTTCACCGGCTCAGCAGACATCCTCGCACTCGTGTGCTTTAGTCTGGTTTTTCAAAGTTGCAAATGTCAGCTTCGTTCTGATGCTGAATGGCTCCACCCGTTCCCCGGAGCCTTCCGCGCCCCGAGCGAGCGCCGCAGACTCACCGGGGCTTTCCGGAGCACAGCTGCCGCGCTCCGGCTGTGGCCCCACGCGGGCCTCGCGCGCTCTCGGGAAGCCTGCTCTTCCCATGGTCTGCACGTCCGCCCTGGACACCACCTGTGTTCCTAGCAATTTTTTCTTGTTTAACTAAAACAGGTTTTGCAGAGACACCAAATTAGTGCACAGACACCCCAGCAAAAGCATGACTTGCAGACAAGCCTCGCGGGCCCCAGAGGGAGGGGTGGCGGACCCCAGCTGCACGTCCTCACACACCAGCCACAGTGTGCCTCGGGCGCAGGGGTCTCGGTGGGACGTGCGGCGGGCGCCACTGCTGCACGGACCTGGTTGGGAGCCCCGAGGGGCGGGGCCGGGGAAGGGGGGCCCCTAGTCCTTCGATGCGCTCGCTGTCCTGTGGTCGCCCTGGGCCGCCCTCCTTGCTCTGCTGCCCTGGGGCTGCTTGACCGTGGTGCCCTCCCCTCTTCGCAGGGCTCTGGGCATCTCCGTAACCGACTACACATTTGAGGACTGCCAGCTGGCCCTGGCGGAAGGACAGCTCCGGCTTCCCGCGGACACCTGCCTTCTCGAATTCGCCAGGCTGGTGAGGCGCCTGGGGTGAGTGCGGCGCCTTTTCTTCCTCGAGCCCCTCCCTCGTTCGCGGTGGCTTCTCTGGCAGCACTAGTGGGGCTCGCTCAGGAACGGGGAGAGTTCTGAGGAGCGCTGCTGAGATGCTTTTTCTAAGACAGGAGGCTTCCGGAAACTTCTAGCAGGCCCTCCCTCCCCTGCCGTTGTCGGTGACCAAGCTGGAGGTCGCCGTGGGTGCTGAGGGCCAGCTGGGCCTTCAAGCAGATAGAAGTGCTCGTGCTCAGGGTTTGTGGGCGCTTTCCCAGTATCAGCTTCAGTCTGCCTCGAGGTGTCTCGAAACCCTCAGGGCTCAGCACGGGGCTCCCCGTGGACGGTCCCACCCACCTGCCCGAGAGGCGTCCGTCCCTCCCGCAGAGACGCTGAGGCGGGATCCGTGCTGTGCCTTCAAACTATTAGAACACCTGCTGAAAATGACCCCGCTGCCCGTTGTAGAAGTAATTTTAATGTTTTGTTGAGTCTTGTTACAGTAAACGTCCTGTTTTGCAGCATTCTGTAATTTTAATGAAAAAAATCTTTTCCTTTTTCTGTGTGTAGGTTAAAGCCAGAAACGCTTGAGAAAGATCTGGCTAGATATTCTGAAAGCGCCAGGACACAGAGGGGAGGACGGTTGGGCCTCCCTGAGTTCGCGGAGTACCTGGGCGTCCCGGTCTCAGACACGCTGGAAGACATGTTCTCCCTGTTTGATGAGGTGGGGCCGTGGCCCTGGGAGGGGTCTCCTGGCAAAACCTCCAGCTTTCCAACATGTATTGTTTTAGTTAGAGGCGTTGCCTGGGGATTTGGAAGGAGAGGGGGAACGGCCCCTCCTTGCCCTGACCAGCCCACCCTGTCGCTTGGATGTTTTCTCCCATGGTTTGAAATGCACGTAGAAGTTTGTCACTTAAGTTAACATTTGCTGATAAACCTGTAGTTTGGGGTTTTAAATGGGATCTCTAAAAAGCCCAAAAATATCAAACCATGTGCCCTCCTCCAGAAATCCAGGATTTCTGGATGGGGGGCCTCTCTCCCGACAATCGGCACACAGGGTGACCCTCGGCCTTCCCCGCGGCGCGTGAGGACTGTCCCCACGCAGCGCTCCACCCAGTCTCCCGTCGTGTCTGGACCAGGGGTCCGTGTTTGCCAGTACAGCCCTGGACGTGGGTGGCCTTTCAGGGCCTGGGTGTGGGAGACTGCGCGGGAGCCTCCCTCCGCCCCGCGCCGGCCCCTGGCTTGTCCCGCTCCCTGCAGCGCCCCGCCTGTTCGAAGCAGCAGCCTGTCCCATGGTGACCCCAGGGTCGCTGAGGACCTGCTGCGTGGCACTCAGCGAGTGTCCAGTGGGCCAGGCGCCGGGTGTTCCTCACATCGCGGCCGGGGGCTCGCTGTCCTGCAGGCTCGCCGCTCTGCCACGGGCCGCTAGGTCCTCAGAACACGAGTGTGCGCTTGCTGTGTGCGGGTGTTTTCCTCGAAGGAAAACCTCAGCACGTGACGGCCATCGTGTGGCCTGAGCTTTCGTGGGCTTCATATGCCAGACTCGCAGGCCCTGGAACTTGATCACAGTGGCCTAAAGAGGGTGTATGGTGTGGCCCCTCGCGAAAGCCAGTGGGTTATGAATGTTCTTCCAAAAATACTCGTTCGGTGGAGGCAGATAAGATCCGACGTCAGTGTTCAAGCCCGGCTCCCCGACCCGCGGGAGGGGCCTGGCTCTCCCCTGAGGGTACGTCTCGTCCCCAGAGCGGAGAAGGCAGGATGGACCCTCGGGAGTACGTGGTCGCCCTGTCTGTTGTCTGCCGTCCTGCCCGGACTCTGGACACCATCCAGCTGGCATTCAAGGCAAGTGTGGCGTTTACGGGAGTTTAGCTTGTAGGGACAGTGAGACGCAGGTCACGTCAGGCCTGTGCTACATTCTTACAGCCCCGTCCTACGTGGGCGGACTTGCCCTGTGCCTGACCGCCGTTTTCACGGAAGCTCGTATCTGCCGTCGTTTGTACAAATGCCCCCCAGATCTCCACAAAAACCTTTCTGCCTGTGGCCTGTACCCCACACTCTCAAGAAGGGCACGGGGTCTGGTCTTCGTGAGTTCCAGCAGGCCTGGACAGGGCTGGCGGGTGCCCCACACCCAGTGCCTAACGCAGCCATCCTGGACAGGCCCCCATCTCTCGGGTCCCCCAGCACGACCTCTTCATCAGCCCACTGACTTAGGGTGCAGAGGAGCTGCCTGTCCAGAGCCCAGCCATTCAGCCCTGCTGCAGGGGGTGTGGGAGTCTCGGAGACACTCATATGGGGGTCCCTGCTCACCTGCAGATTCTCCTGGTTCACCAGGACAATGTCAGCTAGGATAGGTGCGGGCTGGCTTTACTCACCCAGAAACACAGTTCTGTCAGGGTCTCAGAATAGGTAGCTCTTACAGGTGCAACTCCCAGTAGCCAGATTCATGAGAGCCTGATGTATAAGCCAGGCAGCTGCTTATCTCACTGTTTGGAGAATCCAAGACCCTAGCAGACCCTCTGCAGAGCATCACTGGGAAATCCCTTGGTGCACGGTGCCTCCGTGGGTCACACCGGGAAACCCCTTGGTGCACGGTGCCTCTGTGGGTCACACCGGGAAACCCCTTGGTGCACGGTGCCTCTGTGGGTCGCGCTGTGAGAATTAACTGGGTGACACTGATATCTGGTGGCTCCTGTCTAGAAAGACGTGACCGGCCTCCTCCAGCCCGAGCAGGTGGCTCTGAGGGCCCTGGGCCTGCGCCTGGCTTATGGCCGCTCTGTGGCTCCTGCCTTCAGCACAGGCCGTTCTGACGGACCCCACCCGGCAGCTTCTCTGCTGCGGGCTTGTAGAGTCTGGTCTGGGAACAGTGGCCATGCTCCACTCGTCTCTCCCAGCTCGGAGCAGACCATTTTCCGGGCCGTGTCTGCCAAAGCCCCGGCTGCAGGAGCAGGCTGACCCGGCTGCAGAAGGAGGACGGGCCGGGGAGAGGGTGACCCCCCTCCCAAGCCCGCGTTGCTGGGCCTGCCTGACGGGGCAGACAGCCTCTCCCTGCAGGACCCACACTGAGGCTCACAGCACACACCAACCCTTCAGGGCCTTGCTCTTGGTCACTCTTCGCTGGGCCCATGGGCAGCCACCCCCTTGGCCAGCCAAGGAAGGTGGTGGCTCGTTCGTGTCATTGAGCAAAAGCCCACGAGTGCCCACATGTGCCAGCGAGCCCAGGGTGCGGGCTCCGTCCCTCACCCCGGGAAACACACGCCGCTGCCTGGGGCGCCCTCTAGTGGGAGCGCGGGGCGTGTGCTCAGAGCTCCCTGCCCCGTGGGGATCCGTGTCCGCGGAGTCCTGGCTCTTCCTAGCCGGTGGGGTCAGGCCTACACGAGTGCTGGGAACCCCGTGAGCAGAAGAAGCGGGATGCCTGCTTGGTTGGGGGGTTATGGGGTGACGCCAGCCTCTGCCGGCAGATGTACGGGTCACAGGACGGTGACATCGATGAGGACGCCCTGTCCAGCATCCTCAAGACTGCCCTAGGGGTGGCAGAGCTCAGCGTGACCAACCTCTTCCAGGCCATTGACCAGGAGGGGACGGGGCGGATCACATTTGGTGAGTGGCCCCGGGGGCAGGGGGAGGAGGGGCCCATTGTGCAGGGGTGTGCCTGGAGGTGGGGCACGGGGACACAGTGGGAGCGACGACCATGCGTGCTCACCAGGGCCATCCTGTCCTGTGCAACGTGGAATTCCCAGAAGGAGGGGTCGTCCCCAGGCCTGGCAGGGGCAGTTTAGGGGGTCTGGAGTCTGAGTTGTACGGGGGATGGATAGAGCCAGAGCCAAAGCCCACGCTGGGAGCCCCAGATCCATGCCATCCCCGGGGGCTGCAGGCGGTGTGGGCTGAGGCGGGTCCGTGACAGCCCACAGGGGTCCCTGGTCTCAGTCCCCCATGGAAGCAAGAGCCTGCCCCTCAAGGCCGACCACTGCTGGCATGTCCTCGTGGGCTGGGGGCCAGGGGGGCTCATCACTTTTAGCCACGCAAATTGGGACAGCTAAGGTCCTCAGGGACTCAGACCTGAAACCCACTTGTAGGCTGAGGGAAAGGGACCTGGGGTGGTTGGGTCCCCGGAAGGCTGCCCCGCTCAGCGGGCCCGCCAGTGCGCATGTTTGGAAATGAATGTATTCTCGCTAAAAAAGAGGAGACATTTGCTCAGGAAAGGTCGCGGTTCATGTCTTGTTTGGACATGTTTTTAAAATTGCAACCAAATGTCAGACACGGGTGTGTGTGTTGATTTAGAGCGTGTGTGTGTCCACCTGCTCAAGGAGTAGACCGTGAGTCCCGGTGCACTCCGGTGGTGGGCTGGGGAGGGGCTGTTCACAGTGAGCGCTGACCAGCTGCAGACGTTTCCCAGTAAGTCCTTCAGTGCCCCCAGAGGAGCGCAGGTGGTTTTCCCTGGGGTCCATAGTCTCCCACACCCAGGCCTGTGAGTGTCCCCGTGCTCTTGGAGGGCACCGTCCACCCCAGGACTGGGTCCCAGGGCTGTTGGGAGAGGCACGGCCTCAGACCTGCTCAGCCCTGTGACCGGCACGGACAGGGGCCCTGTCTCCCCGGGCGCACGTCTGGTCTCTCCGGAGCACGGCCGTGTCCCTTGATAGCTCTTGCCATGCCGAGATCAGGTCCTCACGTGGACGCTTTGTCCTGTCCCTAAACCAGATCCTCTGACGAGCAGCGCCTTCCTTGCACACGAACCCAGAGCACACCGCGGGGTTCCAAATCCTGCTCTCTCTAGATTTTCCCCCGAACGGGCATAGCCGAGAGCCCTGAGCTGGCCACTCTGTGATGAGCAGCCGAGAAAACGGGAGGACCCTCCTGTCCCCCGCCCCGTCCCCTCTCCCCCACTTCCTCTCCTCTCCTCTCCCCTCCAACCTCCCCCTCCCCTCTGAGGGCATGGGTTCCAGCCCCGACGGGAGGGTGTGAGGTGGGGGCGCCTGCAGGCCCAGGGACGGGAGCCCCCGAGTCCAGGTGTCTGCCCCCAGCTCACCCAGTATCTCTTTTTCCAGCGGATTTCTGCAGTTTTGCAGAAACGTTCCCCAACTTCGCAGAGGAGTACCTATACCCCAAGCAGACACACTCGGACGGCAGCGCACAGACGCCACTAGCTCCAACCCCCAATGGCTTCTGCGCGGACTTCAGCCCCGAAAACTCGGACTTTGGAAGGAAACCTTCCCGTGAGAAACTGGACTAGGACAGAAGGCTCTGGAGAGATGTGGCTCTGTGCGTGTGCCGGCCTCGGCCCGAGTTCCACGACACCTGGGGTTGTTCTAACCCTGGTCCTCCGCGGAGAACCGCATAGGGACGGGGCTGTGTGAGCCCCGGGGCGCTGTCCCTCCCACCGACGCCGGCTGCAGCCGAGTCCCCTGCACTGTTCCGGGTCACTTGCCACCGTGGTCTTTCCTCACATCCCTGTCAGAGTCTGCATTCGGCGGCTCGCACAAGTGGACGGGCCTCCACACGCACACGCGACACGCGTGAGACCAAGACGTGTCACGTGCATTTTGATTCCAGCACAAATCCTCTGCCAGCCTCCGTGGGGTCACAGCGAGGCAGGGCCCTGTCTGATTTTTAAACATTTCTATATTTGTGAGAACTCATGAGTATTTTCTAAACTTCATTTAGATACTTCAGGAAGCATTCAGCATTTTTAAAAAAAGAAGAAAAAATTGTTTTCTACTTCATTTTTTCCTTTGAGGGCCAGAGGATATTTATTTATGGGTCCTTTTTTGATAGAACCCGAGGCTGTCTGGGGCTTTGACTTAAACCTCTCTGTGACCTCTCTCGACCAGGTACATTCCAGCGTCTGGCTCCGCCGCACACCCCCGGCCCGGACGCCTTTTCTGCTTCTTTAATCCCTTTCAAACCCCCTCTTTTTTATAGACGTCACCAGCTTGGTGTCTGTTTAACGTCAGGTCGTCCACGTCCCTGCGGCCCGGCTCCGGCCAAAGCACGGAGGGTCGGTGAGGTGGGGGCGTCGCAGGTCGCGGCCCCCGGCCCGGCTGGGGCGACTAGCAGGTCCTAGTGGAAGGCGGGTCCTGGCAGGGCACTCCCTGTGGACACCTGCCCGGCCGCCAACCCGCACCCCTTGTGCATCCCAGCCGCGTCCCGCCCCACGGCCCCTGCCCAGCGTCCTGGAAGGCGCCGGGGCCTGCGCCTGAGTCGGGGCGAGAAGCAGGGTCTCCGCACGCGGGGGCTTGGGGGCCTCCCCCACCCCGGCCCAGCCCGGCCTCGCAGCTCCCGCCACAGACGCCCACTCTTCAAGCACACGAGACCACAGCCTCTAGCTGGGTCTGAAGCAAAGCCTCCAGGTTTGCTTGGGGAAAAAGTCCTTTAGAATTTCTAAACAAATTGGATTTTGTATTTGGGTGTCTCCGTAGAACGTGACCACCAGGGCCACCAGAAAAATGCTCGCGGGCCTCCCCGTGCGTACGGGCGCGCACTCCCACCCCGCACACGCGGCCTCCCCGGCGCATGGTCGCCAGCTTGTCGCTGCAGGAGGCACAGAAATTCATTCTTGCAAGAGGAGTGTCCAAGGGACCCATGAAGGAGGCAAACAAGCGAAGATACTCTGCGGGTGGGGACCCCCACGTGGCCCCCGCACCCCGGGTCTGCGCATGAAGGGCTTTTTGAATGAGGCGCCACCGAGCGTTCAGGAAGAGTCTCTGAGAGCAGACCCGGAACGGACGCTTGTCCTCCCGATCCCTGCCCCGCCGCCGCTCCGCGTCCCAGACCGTGCGTGTGCGTAGCCTGGGAGTCCGTCCCTTCGGTGGGAGGTGCGGGCGGAAGAGGCCCCAGGAGGACTGGGGTCCCTCGGGTTCTCCGTGGAATGAATAAAATGTAGTGTCGCCCACATGACGACATACTTTGTTATGCGCGTGGCGTTTTATCCGCGAGACAACAGCAGGGGTGCCTGGGTGGCTCAGTCCAGGAAGCGCCATGACTGGACCTCAGCCCCAGTCTCGATCGCAGGGTCATGAGCTCAACCCACGCTGGGCTCCCTGCGGAGTGGGCGCCTACTTAGAAAATCAAAAAGGAAAGAAAGACAGCAGCAGACGTGTCTTGGGCCGTGGCAGAAAGCCAGTCAGGTGGGGTTTCTCGGCAAGTCACCCAGCGTGTTTGGAGAACACAAGAATTGAAATTCTGTAGGAAAGTCTTCCTTGATCCCAGAGGCAGGCCCGGAGCGGTGCAGCCTCATCAGGTCAGTGGCCGGCCCTGGAAGGCACCGACGCGCGTGGCTGTTTGCCGCAGCGCTGGGTTGGTCCCCAGAATCCCTCTAGCGAGAGCCGTAAACACACTTCGTGAAACCCGAACGAGACGGGGTCTCGCATTCAGTTCTCTGCTCCGGGCAGCGAAGGCTTAGACTTAGAGGAAATACGGCCAAAGCATTACGGCCTCCGAAACCGAAGGAAAGGGGCTGAGGGGTCGCTGTCTGCTGGGCTCCACTACAATGAGCCGGTCCCGCTCGGCAGCACGTGCACCAGGGGCTGCACCATTCTGCCCCGGGCAGTCCGAGGAGGGCGCCCAGGCACGCGTTCCTGGGGTTGTACTTCTCTGTGCTCGTATTTGCCTGTTTAATATAAAGGGGCATCGCCCCCACGATGGCAGGGACGTTCTGGGCTGGACCCACTCCCCAGCGGGGACGGGAGCAGCCTCCGCGGGCTCCAGGCACAGCGCAGCGCGGGTGACGTGGCCCGTGCACGCCTCCAGCGACTTCTGCACACGCTCGGCGCGCCGCACCCCCATGGGAACAGGCTTGAGTGGGATGTGTGCCGCGGGAGGAGGGAGCTCCGGGGGATTCCTTCAGAAACAGGAAGCAGAAGGGGCACCGCTGCCTCCCCACTGCCAGGCCCCAGCCGGGGGCCCGCCCGACCACGCTGGTCCAGCCTGGGCCCTGGGGGCCACCGGTAGGAGCGTGTCTGACCCCAGGCCTTGGCTCGCGGAGCAGGGCTTTGAACTTGGGGGTGGGCACGGCCCGTCCTCTCCCTGGGCTCCCGCCCTCCGACGGCGTGTGACTGATGTCCAGCGGGTGCCTCTCCTAAGCGAGGGGACGCTTGCTGCACAAGCAGACGCTTTTACCTTCTCCCCAAAAATGTACCATCTCACAGTCCTCACGGCCGCCCTTGGGCAGCGCTCGTGCTGCTGTCACGTAGCCCTCCGATGCTTCCCGGTATGGACAGAGTCACACGTTTACCAGTCAACACTACTAATATTCCTGCACAAAATACGGTGGAGGCCGAGGCAGGGGAAGGTGGGTGAGCGGTCGGCCACCCGTCTTCACGCTCTCGTGCGCGCACACACGCACACACACAGCAGGCCGTGAAGCCGTCCCTATGGTTGGCACCAGCCTGGCCTTGTACCTGCGTACGGCGTTGGGACCACTGCTTACAACCTCCCTCCCCAGCCCCACGGCACGCGTCCTCAGTGGCCGCCGGTTCCTCGGAAAGTGAAGGTTCTCCACCTGGTGGAGGGTTTTCCCTCCAGAGAATGCAGAGCCTTTATTAGCCACGATCTTAGCGATGAAAGTGCCCAGAGGACCCTCAGGGCTCCAGAGAGAGAAGAGCACCATGTCCTGCTCCGGTCAACTCCCCGCGTCCCAGAGGGTCTGCAGCCGGGGCGGCCCCAACAGCTATGACCATCTGAGCTTCAGAGCAGGGGCTGGAGCCCGGGGGTCCATCCCTGGGAACCACGATCTTAAAGCGAAACAGCCCCAAGTTGCCAAGAGGGCGCTTGGTGAGGACGGCGAGCTGCCAGATGCAGGGACAGCAGGGACACGCGCTGCTCATCTCCCGGAGGGCGGGCCGCTCACCGGCCTGAGAGCAGGGCCTCCCTCAGCGACTCCGCCAGGCGGGCAGCACAGGGAGGGGGCAGTGTGCAGGGCTGCAGCTCCCCGGACACGAAGCACCTCGGCCCTGCTGCGGGCTCACCGGCCAGACCCACACGGCAGCCGGAGCTCAGTCCCACGGAGGAGGGGCTGCCAGGAAGCCAAGGCAAGTCCTCAAGACAAAGCAGCACCCGCCGCCCCCAGTAACTACTGGCTGTCAGATGGGCGTCCCTGCCCGTGTCACAGGCGTGGGCTGCGCTGTGGACAGCCCCCGTGTCGGTCCACAGCCTGGAGCACAGCCTGCCTATCGTGGGCACCACCGCCTAGGAACACGCCCCACGTTCCAGGCGCCGTCCCGGGCGGCAGCCTCCTGGGTCCTTCCTCCGGCGGCGTGGCCAGCTGCTTGGGGCGGGCGGGGAGCTTGGTCAGAGCAGTGGGTTCACGTGCCGGCGTCCTCCAGCGAAGCGCAGCCCGTGGCGGTGTCACGCCCGATGGGCGGCCGGGAGGAAAGGCCCTCATTAAGTCGCAGATGGTGCTGGCAGAGCTGCCAAGGGCAGAGAAGGCAGATCCGTCTCCGGAATAAGCGTATTAAAACGAGGACACATCCCCCTTCAGTGGGGGAGGCTCCAGCAGCAGCGTCCCCACGCCCGGGGACAGCACCACGTGGGGGGCTACATCCCGAACCTGCCTCTGTCAAGGGGGAAGCCGGTGCGACTACCTTAGGCCTCCAAGTTCCTGGGTCGTTGACCCGTGCTACAGCCCAGCCCCCTGCCAGCCCCGCTCTGGGCACTGTCTTTAAGCCCACGCCGCGCTGGCTTGGAGAACGGGCGGCTGCCCTCCAGCCCTTTGTCACGCCCCAGACCGGGTCCCAGAGACCAGACGCTTGGGGACAGTGCCCCGCGGTGTGTGCGCTCCCGGTGAAGCAGCAGGAGAGCCGACCAAGAGAGACCCTCAGTGTCCACCCACATGCAACTGGGTCCCAGAAACCCAGTCAAGGCAAAAACACTGACTTGACAAAATAATGGCCAGAATGTTTCCAAATCTATACTCAGACATCCAAGAAACTCAGTAAGCCACAAGCAAAATAACAGTAAGAAAAAGACACCAAGGCACGTTATTTTAAAAACACAGACTCTGAGAGCTGCTTATAAAGAGCCGTCTTACAAGCAGCCAGAGGAAAAGGCAAGATTATCCCCGAGCAAAGATGAGAATGGTGCGCACGCGGGAACGGGCTGCGCGTGAGGGTCGTGAGGGTGTGAAGACAGACCACGGTACAGGGATATTGTAAGCCCCCCAAAGAAAAGAAAGACCTACAACTAAGAAGCCAGTGGGAGAAAGGAAACAAGGTATTTTTTAAATAATAATTTATCCTAACTAGGCAGGAAACTGAGAAAAAAGAACAAAGGACAGACAACACAGAAAACAAACAG